CACCAAGGCAGGTAGGAAGAAAATGACCTCTGGATCACAATGGGTCTTAAGAACAAGAGAGTGAACGAGTCTGATGTAATCACATATGGATGCAGCCATCACAGGCTGCAGGTGCCTTCACTTCTGTCACCCAATGTCACCCACAACCCCCTGGAGCAGGGGTAATTGCCACCACTACACAGATGAAACCAGGGCTCACAGAGCTGACTTCTGGCCCCACAGTGGCACGACCACCTCCCTGCCTCTGCAAGTCCAGGTGCCTGCCTCCCATGTGCAGATGTGCACAAAACAACTGCATCCTTGGGGGTGCAAGAACTTGCCACTCTTGAGCTCTCACTGCCAGCCAGGCTCCAAGGCATCACCTCACGTCCCCCCATAACCTGAAGAAGTACAGACCTTTACCATCCCCATTTTAGAGATGTGGAAATGGAGGCCCAGAAAGATGATGTAACTTGCCCACGGCCACAGAGCAAGGGGAGGGAGAAGGTTGTATAAGGAATCAGGTCTTGGCCCTGCAGGGTGAGAATGATCTGTCCGGGAGGACATGGGAGGGAGAGGGAATGTGGGATGGGGAAGTGTGAGGAGGCCAAGGCAGGGAGGGGGCTGAAGGATGCCGAGACTTTCCAAAGGGAGAGGAACCTGATTGAGCAAAGGTCCTGAGGCAGGAAATTGCAGGGTGTGTTCTACAAACAAGTGGAGCCACTATGTCTGGTGGGCAGAGGCCAATCCAGGACTTGAGAAACATCATTTTAGGGGCCTTGTTTAAGAAAATTATTTTAAAAATCTTACTTTGCCAATTTTATAAAACCATTTAACACATTATTAGACCCTCCCAGGGCTTTGGAAGGGGCGGACCATGAAGCTTGGGCTTCATTCATTCCAGGTGGGCCAGCGTCTGGGCAGGCAGGTGTCCCAGGGGGCAGGAGGGGTGGAGCTTATGTTGCTGACAACCTGCTCAGAGCCTGGATTTGGACTGGTGCCGCCTCACAAGGGTGACTAAACCAGGGCCCTGGTGACAGGTACCTTGGTGGTGGGGAGGCAGGAGAAAACACCCCATGACATGCCAGTACACAGCCTGCAAGAGGAGAGTGCCTCAGGGACCAGGAAGCCAAGTCTCAGGGGACCAGGAAGAGGGCACCAAAGCTGGCTCCCCACCGAGATCTGGTTCCCAGTGGGTCTCCCTCCTCCAGTCCCCTCTTTGGCCATCTCAAGGGGGCCTGGAATTGGGATCATGGGCTCCATACCCTCGTTGTCCTGAGGCCTCACCCGAGCACCCAGCCTCTCCCAGCTCATTTGCTGGGTCCCCCAGCAGGCCACATGTGGTTGCTACTAGGGGCTGGCTGACTGGTCACTACCTGAGCTGAGCAGTGAAGGACAAACTGGATGCAGGAGAACCAGGGCGGGGGCCCAGTGCCCTCGCCTTATGCCCCTGTGGGGTAGATGCAGATAGAGCACCAAGGTCCTTCCATGGGGACGACTTGTTGAACATCAAGGTCCTTCTTGCTGACGACTGAAATGGTGAGCATGTGTGTGCTGGGGACACATTCTGAACTTAGGCCATGAAACAACTGGAGACCAAGAGGTGGAGACTGGATGGCAGTCTTGGGCGGGTGGCTCCCCTGGTAAAGTGGGCTGCAGAAGGGCTGGCCTGGAGCAGTGGCTCCTCCATGGCCCTGTGAGGGGGTCCCCGAGTCAGCCGTGGAGCCTGAGACTTCACGGGGACAGGCAGCCCTTCCTGCTCACTGGCCTCAGGGCCGGGTGCCCAGCCCAGTGCAGGGAGCATGACAAGGCCTGAGGGACACAGAGCAGCGAAGAGGCTGGTGTGGTGGGTCTGGAGCACCAAGCAGGGGAGGGCAGAGACAGAAGGGTGGTCGGGAGGCAGAATAATGCCCCGAGATGTCTCTGCCTCAATCGCGGAGCCTGAATATGCCAGGTTATGGCAAAGGGCAATCGAAGTTGCTCATCGGCTCCCCTAAAGATGATCCTGGACTACCCAAACTGGACCAGTGTAGTGGTCACAGGGTTCTTGTGGAAGAGGGTACAGAAGAGTCAGAGAAAGACGTGAGGACGGAAGGAGGTCCGAGTGAGTGATGGGAGGACTCCACTCACCTTACTAGCTCCCAAGAGAAGGAAGGAGCCAGGAGCCAAGGGATGTGGCAGCTTCTAGAAGCTGAAAAAAGAAACGGATTCACCCCTAGAGCCTCAGAAAGGAGGGCAGCTCTACCCACACCTTGTGCTCACCATTGAGACCCTCATCAGACTTCCGACCTACAGACGTGACACAATGAGTGTGTGCTGGTCTAAGCCACTAAGGTGTGGTCATTTGTTACAGCAGTGATGGGAAACTGACAGGGTGGCTCCAGGCCCACCAGGCCCAGGCTGTGGCGCTCCCTTACCCATGTGTGAGGGGCCTGTGCCATTGCAGGCCCCGGCTGCTCATGTGGCCCCAGTTATCCTCCCAGCTGCCAGGCACAGTGCTTTGAGATGACGAAAGAAGCTAAGGCCTACCCAGCACCTGGTCTACGCCAGACCCCCTGGTCTATACCTGACCACCCCATGAGGCAGGTTACTATTATTACTCCTGAGTCAGTATCTCATGTAAGTGATGTGGTCACTGCATCACGCCGCCCTGGCCAGGCAGAGGACAAGGTACCGCTCCCTGTCACGGACGCCCAAGACAAGCCCTAGTCCCGGGACCACACTCCCAAGGGGACACATGGCTGGCTCCTCCCATCACAGAAACATTCATAGTGTGAACCCCAAACCCCAAATGGTGCTCATGCTACAGGGACAAAGCTGTGCCATCACTGCTGCTGCGGCTTCCTGTGAAGCCCACAGCGGGCCTGGTGCTGTCTCTTCCCTCCGTACTGTGAGAACATACTGCCTCCTGGCCAGGCCGGGACACAAGGTGCCCTTAGGGAGGGCACAAGAATCTGCAGAGCGACCCCCTTGATTCCCACAGGACCCCTAGAGCCCCTCCTGGACCGGCTAACTCGGCTGGGAGTCCCTGCCAAGCCACTCAGATGAGGAAACCACTTCTCCATCAGCATTCAGCTTGGCCAGCCCGAGAGCTGCACTCCTGCACACATACTGAATAAAAACCAAATGCATAGCCTGTAGTCAACTCCTAGGCTGTAATGAAGACACCCTCCTTATTTCATATCATAAGCCACCCAACAGTCTGCTAGAAACGGATTTTATTATTAGTAAGTCACATGATACAAAAGAACATTCAAAGGGCATTTGATAAAACGCTGCTCTGTCCCAAAGGGCAGGAAGAAAAGGTTAAGGCACAATGGATGCTTAGAAAACAGAGAAAGAGACTTAAGAGCAGAAACACGTCATTTGTGTACATATAAACACACACCCAACCACACCCACACGCCCCAGCAGATAAGAATTCACCAGGAATCAAAACAGTCAGTGGGACAGAGATAACCAGAGGGCTGGAGCCACCAGAACCAGCTGGGCAGCTCGGAGAGGTTAAGTGACTCCAGGAGTGGGGACAAGATGTGGCAGCTGATATTGTCCTATGGCTGGGACATCTCTCACCTATTCTTTGCACCTATTTATTATGACAAATGACAAAGTCCTTGTTGCTGGAAGGCAAGCCCACCTCAAAACATCTGGAGTGTTCAGAAGTTGCCAAAGGGAGGAGGGATGAATGGGCTCTCACATTCGGAGTACAAGAGGTTCCCGTTTCCTCTCCCCCGGTTTTCCCCTGGGAAGGGAAACAGAGCGAGCCCTGTGCTGAGCCGGGCTGCCTCTTCTGCGGGAGCGCCGGGAAGCACCCGGGAGCCATGGACCCTCCGCAGAGGGGCCCAGGGGCTGGGAAAACTCTCCTCTCCGGGGGGCCCCAGCTCATCTGGGAAAACACATAGAACCTCCGTTGCCAGGAGGGCAAAGCTGGAGAAAAGCCAAAGCAATCACCCCCATCAAAACCTCCTTTCCAACGTCCCTGAGAGAGAAGAGACCGTCTTGTGTCACCGGGCATTTCCCCGAGCACGGGCTGGCCCCCAGGGAAACCTGTAGCCCTTCTCAGCAGCTCTGAGGTTAATGAGGGCATTTCATGGAGTTTCCCCACAGTTCACGGGCTTCGTGGATCCAAAGCAGATGAAAAAATACAGAAACTAAAACCTGAGGACCCAGAACACTGGGAGGAAAGGGCAGGCCTGGGCGGTCCACTGAGGAGAGTTGCTTGGGTGCTCACAGGGGCTTTCGGGAGCTTTTCAGAGTGTGGAGTGTGTGGGTCTGGTGGGCCTGCTGGTCTGCAGGACAGCCACCTCCCAACACAGTGATGTCAACAAAGGCTAACAAAAAGGCACCTTCCTTCTGGTCAGAGTGTCTCATGCCTGCAAGGGAGACGTGAGGGTCCCCGGAGTTAGGCCCTGCCCGGCTCCCTCCAGTCCCAGTTCAGCCAGGGAACTATGGGGTGGGGAGCCCTCACCTTCTGTCTCTGCCACGGTTCAATCCAGGAGGTCCCCTCCCACCCTCCTGAGAGCAATGGCCCAGCCTGGCAGTGGGGGGGTGGAATGCCAGCAGAAGGAATGCGGGGATGTGGTCACCAACGTCCAGAGGAACACAGTGGACCTGCAGGTCCCAAGCCACCTGCCATCGGAGGCACTTCAGAGCAGGGGACACCATCTATCTTGAGATGGGCACAAAGGCAAGTCTCTGGGTGGGAGGGGCCAGCCGGGACCTGATCAGCTGGTCCTGAGACAGCAGCTGGGCCCAGAGTCCAGGGGAAGAGAGCGCAGGCTGCAATAGGGCTGCTGTGGAAGCCCTGGCCAGCTCTGCACAGCCCAGGCATCATCCCAGGTACAGAAGTCACTTCTCCGTGGTCTGAAATACCTGCAGACCCTGAGCAGCCGAGGCAGCCCTCCTCCCCTCTGTGCATAACCCTTGAGACTAGCACAGCCTGGCCACTGCCCCTCAAGGAGGACAGTGCTGGGCCAGTCCCAGGGGCCCCACGTATCACCCTCCGCCCGGTGCTGCCACCCTCAGCCCTGCTCTAGGCTGTCGGTGGGCTGTACCACAGTGTAGGTCCCCTGGCCCATGGAGAGCTGCCGGCTGAAGAAGGATGTGGTGCGCTTGGGTTTCACCCGCTTGATGCCCTTGCCTGTGGGGGAACAAGAGGGACATGCTGAGGAGGGGCTCTCCCCAGGTGAGGCAGCCCAGGCCCCAGGAAGCCGGGTTCTAGCTGCAATGGGATGGCTCCTTCCGGAGTCTGTTCAGACCAAGCCCCCACAAATCAGAGGCAGTGGGTTTGCATCTGGTACTGGGCCAGCTGTGATGTCTGAGGAGCTTCTGCTAAAGCTTGGTCAAGAACAGACCAAAGAAACAAAATACCTGCAACACATACAATTGACTAAAGGTGTGCCTTGGTAGCATAAAAAGAATTCTTACATGCTAAAAATACCAAGCCATTTGTTACAACACCAAGGTCAACGGTTCCAACCGGCCATCCAAAAAAAAAAAGGAAAAAACCCAAAAATAAGCCAGATGATCAAGGTCAGCATCTATAGTCACAACTCATATTGATATGCACCTTTGCTATGATGTGATAAAATGGCACTTCACGTCTGTGGTCTTCTCCCCAAAAACTCAAAACCCCTGTCTAATCATGAGAGAAATATCAGACAAATTCCAGTAGAGGGCCGTCCTCCAAGATACCCGGCCAGGACTCTTTAAAACTGTCAAGGTCATCGAAAACACGGAAAGTCTGCAAAACTATTACAGCCAACAAAAGCCTAAAGAGATGTGACAACTAAATGCAGCATGGCGTCCTGGATGGGATCCTGAGACAGAAGGACATTAGATAAACACTAAAGAAATCTGAATAAAGTATAAACTTTAGTTAATGGTAGTGTATCAGATCAGATCATTAATTAACAAATGTACCATATTAATGTAAGATGTGAATATAAAAAAAAAATCAAGCAACTAGGGCTGGCCAGTTGCTCTGTCAGAACACCATGTTATAACACCAAAGGTCAAGCGTTCGGATCCTGCATTGGCCAGCCACCAAAAAGAAAAAGAAAAACAAAAATAAAACAACAACAACAAAATCAACAAAAGAAAAATGCACAAAAGAAATTAACAATAATTCATGGAAGGAAATATAAATATGATCAAACACCTGAAAATATTCCAACTAAGTTCTCTGTCAGAACGGTCGGACCCATTCACTGTGGGTGAGGAGGGTGCAAAAGGGAGATGCCGCCTTCTCTGCTGGGAGGGGTATATGTGGGCACAAGCTCTTTGCAAGATGGCAGGTGTCAGAGAAGCCTTAAAATGTGCATACCCTTTGACCCAGCAAGTCCATTTCTAGGAATTTATCCTGAAGAAACAGTTCAGATTCCAAGTAAGGATTTAGCTATAGGTATGCTGTTTATAATATCTAAAAACTGGAAATAACTACAACAGTGGTAAAGAAATAAAGGAAAAGTTTGCTTTTTCTGATTATAAAAATTGGGCTGTCTGGTTGGTTAGCTCACTTGGTTAGAACATAGTGCTAATAACACCAAGGTAAAGGGTTTGGATCCCTGTACCAGCCAGCTGCCAAAATAAAAAAATATTTAAAAAATAATAGGGGCTGGCCAGTTATCTCACTGGTTAGAGCACAGCCTTATAACACCAAGGTCTTAGGTTCAGATCCTCATACAGTCAGCCACTAAAAAAAGATAGTCATAACTGTCGGGGCCAGCCCGGTGGCGCACTGCTATAGTGCACCGCTTGGGAGTGTGGTGGCGCTCCTGCCGAGGGTTCGGATCCCACATACAGACCGGTTCCCGCTCACTGGCTGAGCGAGGCGCGGGAGCAACACCGAGGGTTGCGATCCCGTTGCCGGTCCCGGTCCGGTGCGGGGGCAACACTGAGGGTTGCGATCTGTTGCCGGACATGGAAAAAAGACAAAAAAAAGGAAAAAAAAAAAAAAAAGATAGTCATTGGGGGAAAAAAAAAAAAAGAAAGAAAAAAAGATTTATTTATTTATTTATTTGGTGACTGGTTGGTGCAGGAATCTGAATCCACGACCTTGGTGTTATAAGGTCATGCTCTAACCAACTGAGCTACCTGGACAGCCCTTGTAAAAAATTTAAGTGCTACAAAGAAAAAAGAAGTCACAGTAATTTGATTGCCACAGTTGGGGTCTCTCTTACCTAATTTTTTTTCATTATGTGATTGTTTTCTACTTAGTATTATTTTGTAAAAATCTTGCCATTTAAGTGTGGATCTCTTAAGCATTAAAAAGCCCTTTTTGGGGCCGGCCCGGTGGCGCACTGGATAGTGCGCCGCTTGGGAAGCGTGGCGGCGCTCCCGCCGAGGGTTCGGATCCCACATACAGACCGGCCGCTCACTGGCTGAGCGAGGTGCGGGCGCAACACCGAGGGTTGCGATCCCGTTTCCGGTCCCGGTCCGGTACGGGTGCGACACTGAGGGTTGCGATCCGTTGCCGGTCACGAAAAAAGACAAAAAAAAAAAAAAAGGAAAAAAGCCCTTTTTATTTTGGAATGATTCTAGATTTACAGAGAAGCTGTGGATAGTACAGATAGTTCCTGCGCATCCTCATCTAGCTTCTCCTAACGTTAGCATCTTTGTAACCACGTCAAAGCTAAAAAACGAACACTGGTACAATCTTATCAACTGGATTATGTATTACAGACTTTTGGATTTCATCAGGTTTCCCACAAATGTCCTCTGTTCCAGGATCCAATCCAAGATACCACACTGCATTTAGGGTACTGCATTCTACCAGCTGCACTGAATTCCCCAGGGTGTGGACCCATCATTTATCTACCCACACCTTTAACAAGAGGCAGTGGGGAGTTTCCAGTTTTTCATATTCTGGATGCTACCATGGTGAACACATCTGTGGAGGCAGCAGTGAGAAGGGACAGAGGAGAGCTCCTGGCCAGGCCGACCAGGGGAAGGACAACCCCATGTATCTGCAATTGCTCTACAGCGCCCCATCCCCAGAGCTCGTGTGCACGCGTGTGTGTGTGCATGTGTGTGGGCCTGTGCACGACAGGGTGTGGCTCACCGTCCTCCACGTAGTCGATGGTGGAGAGATGCTGGATGCGGCTGCACACCACGCTGCCCTGCCTCCGCAGCTTCGGGCGCTGGGTGGGCGGTGGCAAGGAGCCAGGGGCTGCAGGGTGCCCCGAGCCACTCTCCTGGGGGGCCGCAGGCTCGGCGGCCTGGCTCAGCTCTATGCAGTACTCAATGAGGCTGCTCATCAGCTCGGCCTGGGGAAGAGAGGCAGTGTGAGGTCTGCAGGGCGGCGGCCCCTTGCTGTCCAGGCCCACTGCTGGCCCCTGCCCGTTGTGGGGAGGCAGATGTGGGATGAGCACCGTTCATGAGAAAGGACAGCGGATGAGGCAGGGTCTGTGGACCAGGAGGCGGGGGAGGCATCCCACATGGGGTGACGTCAGAGGCGAGTCCTGGTGGAAGAGCAGGGGTTCCTAGTCCTGGGAGGTGTGGTGGGAAAGACAGAACACTCTTGACAGAGGGCCCAGCCCGGGAAGGCTGGCTGCATGGGCTGGAGCAGGTGGGGGAAGGCAGGCCAGCTGCTGCAGAGGACGCGGGAGGGAGCAGCCAGGGGTGTTTCTGGGCTGAAGACATCTCCATGTGCTGGATGGAGAACCACAGCAGGCCACAAGGAAGCGGGTGGGGATGTCACTGAGGGCTGGGGGGGGGGGGGGGGCCC